GTGCTCCGCAAATGGGAGAGGCCACAACAGTGAGAGGCCCGCATAACGCAAGGGAAAAAAAAAAAAAAAAAAAAAAAAAAAAAAAAATCATCCACTACAGACACAGGTTTTTGTCTAAAGCCCACCTACACTATATGGAGAATATTAGAGCAAGACAACTAGACTTATCATTTCTGACACTTAAATATTCATTGAGTGTGTCCTAATTTTGTTTCCTGGTGAAACCTCCAAAGTTTTTGAAACGCAAATTGCACCCCTCTGTACCTGACATGCAGCATCAAATCATTCATTATATTTAAGCCAATGCTGCAGGGCATCTTTCAAAGGTGCTAAGTTTAATTTTAAAGACAATCTGGCAATTGTGTGGTTAGCAGAATCTACCTTCTATTGTGGGCACTTATATGTGTCAACAAAACTATATCGTCAATTTAGAGGAGACAACTTATATTTGTTTTCCCCACAGCAGGGGGCATGCATCCAGGACACCAAAAGTGGGATCAAATGGTTTAGACACAGTGAGAAGAATGAGGGGGAATCAAAATACCCCTCTGCTTTACGCCGCGAGAAATGTTCTCTCTTAGGAGCCAGTCCTACAAGACTGTGATCTTCTAACAGTTATAAGACATAGGATCTATAAGATTATTGGTAATTGGTTCCATAATGTGTTCAGAGATCTTAGACCATTAGCAATTCCCCAGAAAAATATAAGTGAGTAGTAATAAAACCAGCAAATACCATGTATTGTTCTTGATAGATTTTGTCCCAAAGTGATGGAGAATATAGCAATGGCCTATATAATGGACCATCTTTGTCTAGAGGTCACCTACATACACAAAGAATATTGGAGTGAGAAAACTAGGTTTGTAATTTCTATCAAGAAGAAAACTGACATAGAGATCAGTTGTCTAATATAAGCTTACAAGTTAAATGATATATATAAAAATCTGTGTAATATTAATTTATATATTCAACAGAAATGTTTAAAAATATTATGTGAAACTAAATGGAAACAATTACCTGATCAGCCAGTAATGAAGCTAAGCTTGAATATGCATCTGCAAACTCGGGACCATATTTAATGGAATCTTTCAGTAAGATGATAGCCTCTTCCTGTTTCTCCTGAGACCTATAGGTTATAAGAGGGTAAAAAAGAACACCTTTTAATAAAACTTTAAATCCTCTGATTAGACCTGAAAATCTCATTTCTTTTAGCAAAGATTAACGGATTCACTCTGATTTTACTGCAAATGAATTACATTAGACTTCCTCCAGGTGCTAATAAGTTTCTGTCTCTGAATTCTCAATGGAAAGAGATGTAAGATATAAATGACACTGCAGGTTATTCACTGATTTCTCTAACTTCCATTTCTTGCTGTGTGCTCTTGAGAGTTTTATTTTAAAACGTACAAGTTTATTAAGCAGAAAGTTTGACCTTCAGAGGAGCAATTCTGGGCACATGACCTGGGTGGCATGGGAGCCAGTTTTCAACCATGTGGAGGATGGTTTGAACCCCTGCAGTACTAACTGCACCACTGCAGGCTGGGCTCCTAATGGGGGCTGAGCCACCTATCAGCAACAAGCCAGCCAAACTGCCCACATTCATCTTTGCTTTTCTATCAAGAGAGATACCTTTTACACATAATTTGTGAAATTAGAAGATAACGTGACTACTGGCTGGCAAAGCATGATCAGCTCTTTTATCCTCATATTTTTATTAAAAATAGGGCTGATGATTTTCTTCATTTTAGTCTTCTCCCAGTGATTACCTTTTTTTTTTTCCTGCGGTACGCGGGCCTCTCACACTGTCGTGGCCTCTCCCGTTGCGGAGCACAGACTCTGGATGCTCAGGCTCAGCGGCCATGGCTCACGGACCCAGCCGCTCTGCGGCATGTGGGATCCTCCCGGACCGGGGCACGAACCCATGTCCCCTGCATCGGCAGGCGGACTCTCAACCACTGCGTCACCAGGGAAGCCCCCAGTGATTACATTTTTTATTTAAAGAGAACTCAAGGCTTCAAAGTTGTTACCACTATTTTGGGCGAAAGTTCTCTTTCCTGTTAGTGTCATGGGGAAACACTGGGTCATTAGCTTGATATCAGTATCCCTGAAGCCAAAAATGTACGCTGGCAGTGATCAACTTTGCCATCAATACAATTCCACATACACTGACCACTTGCTAAATGCTAGACATTGTAATTGGCAAAAGAGGTGGAATGAAGAATAGAACCACTGGAACTACGGAGGGCACACAGCCTAAGGGTCCCCCAACTTTATGAGTTACCAATGCTGAACTGTGTGCTTATGTTTTTACTATGTAGGGTCAACAATCATTTATTCAACAATGAATATGTACCAAATGCTCTGGTCAATTTTCACATAACATCATTAATTTAATTCTCACAGTAATCCCAGGCAGCAGGTATTACTGTTCTATTATACTCATTTTTCTAATGAGAAAAATTTGGATTCAGAAAAGTCAAGTGACTCATCATGTTCACATAACTAGTGTTCTGAGTCAAGATCTGGTGCTCTTCCATCACACTATACTTGCTTATTCTAACTACTTAGAAATCCACCTCCTATGAGCTTGATGCCCAAAGTGTGAACCATGGACCAGTAATCATCAATATCACCTAGGAGCTGGTTAGCAGTACAGAGTCTCAGGCCCCATCTGGACCTAAAGAATCAGACCCTGAATGTTAAAAAGATTCTCAGGTAATTTGTACTCACATTGAGATTTTAGTAGCACGGCTCCCTGAATTATCAAAGGCAGCTGAGAGTAGCTCCTGCTATATAGAAACCCTATGTAGGGCTTCAGGCTCTACAGGATGAAGATCTATAGGGGAAAACTAGTATTGACTCCATACGTTTGAGTTCCAAGCACTAGAAGCAACATGTTACAAGACGATTTTACGTAGAAGACAGTCTCCTATCACAGACCTTGAAAAAAAAGTCATGTTTCCAGCAGAGGCATTGCATTCAATGTCTCTCTTGCGTTCAGTACACTATTCAATGTAGCAAACGTGAAAACATTTGTCATTGCGTTAGCTATTTCCCAGGGGAGGTGGCTGTCCACACTATCCTCTCCTTAATGGGGTCTAACTAACTCAAACTCTGGCTCCTCTCGATACATAGTCCTGCCCTTGATATCAAGGTCTAACACCTGTGTCATTAAGTGGCTCATCTTTGGGATGTGGCTTTAAAGTTGTGTGGTTATAAGAAACTGGCATTATAGCTCTCTCAGTGCTGCTTTCTTGTCAATTCATTCATTTAGTTGACAAACATTCAGAGTGTCTGTAGACTCTATGGAAGACCACTATGTTTACATATGCTTGGGTTTCTAAAATATACCTTGAAGTAATTCTTTCATGGGCACATGTTTTTAAATGAAAACTTCTTTTTTTAACATCTTGTAATTGCTTTACAATGTTGTGCTAGTTTCTGCTGTATAACAAAGTGAATCAGCTATACATATACATATATCCCCATATCCCCTCTGTCTTGTGCCTCCCTCCCACCCTCCCTATCCCACCCCTCTAGGTCGTCACAAAGCACCAAGCTGATCTCCCTGTGCTATGCTGCTGCTTCCCACTAGCTACCTATTTTACATTTGGTAGTGTATATATGTCAATGCCACTCTCTCACTTTGTCCCAGCTTACCCTTCCCCCTCCCCATGTCTTCAAGTCCATTCTCTACATCTGTGTCTTTATTCCTGTCCTGCCCCTAGGTTCATAAGAACCTTTTTTTTTTTATATTCCATATATATGTGTTAGCATACATGTATAGTATTTGTTAGTATTTGTTTTTCTTGTTCTGACTTACTTCACTCTGTATGACAGACTCTAGGTCCATCCACCTCACTACAAATAACTCAGTTTCATTTCTTTTTATGGCTGAGTAATATTCCATGGTATATATGTGCCACATCTTCTTTACCCATTCACCTGTCGATGGACACTTAGGTTGCTTCCATGACCTGGCTATTGTAAATAGTGCTGCAATGTACATTGTGGTACATGTCTCTTTTTGAATTATGGTTTTCTAATGGTATATGCCCAGTAGTGGGATTGCTGGGTCATATGGTAGTTCTATTTTTATGAAAACTTACTTTTAATCCTGGTAATTTAACTATTGGTTTCACGGTTAGAAGAAGTCTTCCTCCAAGGATTTTGTAAATCTTTATTAACATTAATTTGGAAATTTTCCCAAAATCCAAAGGAAGATATAGATTTAGGAAACTGAGCCTGAAAATTAAGCCTCTCAGGACATAATTTAGCTTGGATATTCTTTAAAATCAGCAGAGAAAAAGCCACAACAATTCGATAGCAAAGAGTTAATGATTTTCATTTGTTATGACTCACATCAGTTAGAATGACAGCTTAATCTTTCATATATAAACTCAGTGAGGTTAATTACCACTTACTACAGTGAGTGAATCTAAATACTTGAGGTTGTCCATTCACATTCATGTGACATATTGGAAAAGTTAGCATCAAAGTTATGTACAGGGAACTCAAATTCTTTATGAAAAACTGTACCTCTATTAATCTCTTGAGGGACTGACTTGATATACTTTTTTTAAAAAATAAATTTATTTATTTTTGGCTGTGTTGGGTCTTCATTGCTGTGTGTGGGCTTTCTCTAATTGTGGCGACCAGGGGCTACTCTTTGGTGCGGTGCATGGGCTCTAGGTGTGCGGGCTTCAGTAGCCATAGGCATGCGGGCTCATTAGTTGTGGCTTGCAGGCTCTAGAGCGCAGCCTCAGTAGCTGTGGTGCACGGGCTTAGCAGCTCCGCGGCATGTGGGATCTTCCCGGACCAGGGCTGGAACCCGTGTTCCCTGCATTGGCAGGTGGATTCTTAACCACTGTGCCACGAGGTAAGTCCCTGACTGATATAATTTCAAAAAACATCTCATCATGTAATTTCACATGGTATGTAAGTATTACGAGTTGCAAAAACTGGGGCAGATGAGATTTTTCCTCTTAGCTCTGCACTCTTGGATGACTCTGCTTTTCCCTGGGAGCCTTTGAAAGTCATTAGAGCCCAATAGGGGTCAGGCACATGCCAAGTTGACAGATATTTTAAAATGTTTTTTTAAGAAAGCCCAAGAAATGGATAAGTGGTAAATTTATTGTTGTTGTTTATGTTTCTGAAAGGAAGAGGAATAGCAGGGAAGATATATTTCTTCTGTGGTTTCTCTTTTGCTCACTCTTTGGTCGGAGTTTATGAAATTGGTGTGGTTTTGACACAATAACTTACAGCAAATAATCACCTAAATAGAACCTTCCTTGGCCATATAGTAACGTAATTACCACGTGAGAATTGAACTTCATTGCAACCTGTTTCTGAATTCAATAGCATCCTTTCATATCTGCATTATGGCCCATGTTTCTTTGCTAATTATCCCATATTCAAAAACAAGGGCAATATTCCTACAATTCTATTGGATTATTGCAGCCTAGAGTGCATCTTACTGAGTTGTGCTTGCTAACACCTTAGTTCACACCCTGTTTCTAGTTCCCTCTTTCTCCTCCTTCTATTTACAGACAACTAAAAGATACATTTTTTTTCTAGAGCACTGCTCTCAACACATTCCCTTATATAAAAATCTTCATTAATGCCCTACTGCTTACAGATAGACTCTTAGTTTAAAACCCTCTATAGTATGGTCCTGACCAGTGTTCCAAACGTACCCAGTGGTGTGGACGAGTGGGTACTAGTCCAGCCAGATTGAGTGGCCTTTGGTATCTATTCTACAGAACCTAAGAGATCACTACTCCACTGCTTCTCTGCCCTCACTGCAGGTTTAAAATCACTTGAGGTACTTTTGTAAAGGCCTTAGTGGTCTGAGGTTGGGCCTTTTAATAGCTCTGATGATCCCCTTATCAGAGCTCCTAACCATGCAACACAACCAGAAACCATATAGATGCTACCTTTCTTAAATTTTGACTTTCTTTTTGAGCCTCCATTAAGAAGAAAAGATAGGGGAATCGCTATTAAAAGCCTTGTTCTGGCCTCCAAGGGGCAGCTGCCCTTTGTTCTTCAGCTCAACATTCTGAGCAGTAACTGGGCTTGAGCCCACTGGGCTTCCGCAAGGCCCTGGCACAGCACCTGAAGGGCTGC